CCCCAATACCTACACTGGAAGAGCAGCCTGCCAGGCAACAGCAGGCCATCAGATACAGACACCAGCAAGTAGGGCTACAGGGCCAAAGACTCCACTCACTCATAGAGGGAGTCCCTTGTGATGGATCCCAGGGGGCCCACACCAACTTCATATGAAGAAGTCATCCTGTTCTCATACACTACATAGTCACCATCCAGCTAGAAAGGGAACCACGGGTAAGCTACACACCTCAGCAATAGAGCCTCATCCACAGCCTGCTTCCAAGGATGCAGAAACCCACCTTGACCACAGTGCCACAGGCAGTCACAGGGAAGGTGTAGATGGCAAAGGCATTTGTAGTGGCAACAGGGAGGCAAGGGGCAGCGTTTCCACCCAGCAGGGAGAGACTGGCCACATCCAGCTGGGGCACAGTGGAATCCTTGGCCACCACAAGCACAAACTGACCATCCCTTGTGCACTGCACAGTCACTACAAGAGGGGTCCACACATGCCTAAATTTAATTCACATATACTTAACCAGAAGAAGCATAACTAGGAAGGCATCAGACTCACCGGCATTCCCATAGTAACACTGCTGGCCATCAAAGCAGCAGTTTATGGCTTCACAAGCAGCCTTGCCAAAAGCAGGATCCCCACACGGAACCTGCTCATACACTTGGCATTTGGCAGAAGTGGAAACGAAACCCTTCACAGCCGTATTCTGTGCGAAAGACACGGCGAGAACAGCGAGCAAGACGCTTGCGTGAACCCAAAGCTGCCGAATACAGCGCGATTTCTCCATGATGAATGTGAGTAAAGTGATAAGCAGTAGGCTGAATTAGTTCTTTAAATACCTCCTTGTCTCGATTTGCGTTTCAGTTCAGTAATCGGGTTAATAGGGAAACCACACGAGGTTGCTTGGAATCTACTTGGATCCGACTAGAGTAATTTGCACCCAGTATTTACTGATTCCACGTACCTTATCTATATTTAACATGTACGCAGCCCACTAAATCCCCAAAGGATATTTATTATGTTTCGTATGCACAATGTAATAATTATAAGTTAAATTGTATGTGAAACGCACAGTAGATAATTACTAGTTATTTGCAGCAAATATTTACCGATTCCACCATATCTACTTGACATCATACATTCAATGTAAAATGTATATTACGTAACAGGCTTGGATGCCGATCATACGAATTTCTACTGTGTAGGTGTTAGTAGAGTGTTACCTTTCTTTGTGTGATTAGTGGTTTGATGTGTGTCTCGGTTGAGCTACGTTTGCTGCACATTAAACTCGTAGATGGACAGCGTTCTCAAAGCGCGATCGACGTAGACATATATTATATATTTCAGTTATTTTTCGGGATACCGTGACGCATGGCCTGAAATCGGGCCACCCTATGTAGCCTATATCGATACTGTTTCTGTTGTTCATTAATTCAAATAAATGTGTAGGGCTTATACAGGTTTGCCAACTAAAACACATCTGGCGTGGCATTCACACTTTCAGACTATCGCACGAAATCTTACCGTAAATCTGTATTACTTCCTTATAAACCTAAAATTAGCTATAACAATAGCATTGGGGTAGTCTGCAAACCTTTCAGACTATTTACAAGGTAATAAAACTGTTACGTACATGTAAATGCGTTTGCATTCGTGTGCAAATTAAGCTTTATCGAACTTATAATGTCACACCAGGAGGCTGACCAAAGCTGCCTCTCTCCATATATATAACAGGTCAACCCACATTAAAAGGGTAATTCAAAAATAAATATAACTTAAAATGGGTTGTACATTCTTAACGCATGCACGATGGTAATTAGGGAATTTTGTTCAAGACTATAGCTACATTATCTGAACTTGGTCGTTGCTCTTCTCCTGTAGGTGACGGGGGCTCCTGAAATATCGGTACCAGGCCTAAGAGATTCGAAGCATATTTTAAATTCTGCATAATGGTCATTTATTACAGTTTAGTGTGCAGGTTTCATTCTTCGGCTCTCCTCTACCGTGGCGACGGTAACTGCGCACTGTCTCGCGTCGGTAAGTTTGCCTATGACGGTAATTACATGTTGTGACGTCATTTAAGCCGCGCCCACAGCCATGGCGCTTCCTGGTTGCTCCGTGTTTTTCCTTGGTGTCGTGTCGCTGTGCGGACTCCTCTGCTGGTGCTTTCGCTGCAGGCTAACTGGGTGGCCGTTTCCGAGCAGAAGGCTCTTCGCGAAGCTTATGGCCCGGACGGAGAAGCCGCTCTTTCGCATCGCGTAAGGCTGAGCGTTTCCGAGGCGCTGGAGACCGTCTATCCCCATTCATTTCCATAGATTGCTCGGAGCGCACAAGTTTTGTCAGCTAAACTCGCTGGATTCCTATATAGTGTGATAACTGTAACAAATTAGAAGCCCACCTTGTTTTGCTTTTGTTTCGCTTTCATTGCAGTTTCTGTTTTCGGAAATGGATGTTGCAGAAATGATGTGGCAATATTAGTTCGTAAGCTCGTAAGACGTGGTTTTCATGTAGCATCTAGCACTTATTACGTTTCGTTGTATTGCTTGCGTTTTTACTACTGCTATACTTTACTTGAAAGATTTGAGGCTAATGTATACAAACCTCTGTTCCTTGTATAAAACTATAAAGATTTACTTGCACCTGCTGCTACATTGTCACATAGTCGGATCATCCAAAAGCAAAATAATGGCTGCGAAAGGCTGATAAACATCAACGGAGTTACTGAATCCGACATTTAAAATGACGTGCACTATATGACTGATTACATTACTCGTCAGTTTCGTGGCAGTCGGCACGCCACAGCGTTTTAGAAATGATTTGTTCAAGGGACAAAAGTGTATCGGATGAAGTTTCTGCGTAATTTTGCAGACTTACACTGCAGCTTTGAATGTGTCGATTCCCTTGCCCATGCTGTTATTTTAGGTACACGCTTTACACCAGGACCAAGCTGGGCTACATGTTCTACAAGCGCCAGGTCCGAAAAGCGCACGAGCGCTTCCCGGCCGGTCACTCCAGCGCGCACCCCGTGGAAATCAATGGTTTGTGTTTAGTGGCTGCTTGAGGGAGAGCAATTATCACTTATGTTTCCTATATGTGGATAACACATGTTTGATCTGTCGTCAGGTATTAAAATAATGCCGATTCCCGTTCTTACGGACAACTACAGCTACTTGGTCATTGACAGGGAAGCAAACCTTGCTGTTGTCGTGGATCCAGCCGACCCACAAACCATACAGGTATGTGATCTTGTATATAAAATAAATGTATGCATTCAGATACATAATAGTCTAGAATAAACCATGTGTTTGTGGCCATGATTACAAACTAGGTTCCAAAAGCTTTGAAGTTCCAAAAGAATCTATAAGAATTTTTTCTTTTTGGAATTTCACATGCTTTCATATCTAGTGCAGCTGATGCGTTTCTAAAACTGAATGAGATTATGGTTATTTTTTCTTCATTGTATGATGCTATCTCTCAGGGTCATTTTTCCAATGATACGTCTGTTGCAATGCAGCTTGGCCATTGGCTGTGCTGTGGGGCTCTTTTGTCAGCCTGGCCTGCGTACCAGCCTAAACAGTCTCAGCTCTGTGCCAAGCGCTGTTTGGGACCACCAGCTGCCCCAGTCAGTACTGGGAGTTTTTCCTGTTAATTTCATGGTTAGCTCCAGGATAGTTCCACAAAAATCACTTTTTTGTTTAGATGAATCCAGTCTATTCTGTGTTGGTTCCTATTCCGTCTTTTCAAAATCACAGAGACCTGTTGTTGTTTTCAGCTTATTCACATCTTTGAAATGCTCAGTGCTTAATAATACTTTTTCTGTTAATAATAATTTTTCTAACTCCATGTAGGCATGTCTTGAGAGTGAAGGGGTGACTTTAGAAGCAATCCTGTGTACACACAAACACTGGTGAGGAGAAATTATTTATAATTGTGCTTCTTAATAATTAATATTTGTACTTTTAAAATAATTTGCAGGTTTCCTGTATAATCTTATGGGATAAGAAACTTTATAAATCTCGGGGACATTATACTAAATCCTATGAATGATAAAGTGTAACCAGATTTGACATAATTTAATGTAATGTTATTTGTATAAAATGTTAGATCTTGTGGTTTTAAAGTTGAGATTTTGTAACTAATTGACTGTCACAGTTAAATTGATTCCCAGTGGTATTGTAACTCCCTCCTGGAGGCAGACTTTAGTAATGCAAGATTTAAGTTCCTTTTGATTTTCTTCCAGAACTCTCCTTTGTACACTTATACCTTCAGCTATTACTGGTAGCTGAGTTTGCATTTGGCTTTTTGGTCTTCTAAACTTGGATAATGATGTTTAAAATGTTTATCCTACATAGTTTTTGCCCTCCTTGCACCTTCTATTGTGTGTGTGTGTGTGTATGTGTATGTATGTATGTATATATACACACACACACACACACACACATATATATACACATATATATATATATATATATATATATATATACACCCAGGTCTGGAGATGCTAAGGATGCCTTTATATATATAAAAAGAATTCGGGTAATCCGAAGGCAACAATAGTTCAGATTGTGGGGACTTGCATCCTTAGCATCTCCAGACCTGGGTGTCTGAATAAAACATTGTTTCCTTGAGACAGCCTTGTGTTTAGCCCTGTCACGCCTGTAAGGATCGCTTATTCTGGGTTTCCTGTACGGAAGTGAAGAGAAGAATCAATCTTTGATCTTTGCCAATGTCTAGAATAGATATTTGGCTGAGAAATTCCCATAAATGTATTCTTCTGGTTTTACTAATTTTATTTTTGATGAGAATTGACATATAAAGGTGTGGTTATCGCGATTGCAAGGGTTAGTTTCCCACCCCAGCTCTGTCTGTGTGGAGTTTTGCATGTTCTTGCATTTGCCCGTTATGAAGGTGAAAATGTTTGAGAGAGAGATCCATGTTTGCCCATACCTGTAGCAGAGTAATAGGCAGTACAGATCATTTTCAAGGGAATAACTGGCTTTCTGTTTTGTTAAACATCTCATTTTCTGTGCATTAATTTACCTTTTCTCTAAATACAAGTTCAATTCAGATTACAATTTTTGTTTAATTTGCATTGACTGTGCATAGTGGTGTTACGCACTTATGTTTAAAATACTTTAATATGATTATTTTGCTTGTCTTAATTTTATTAAATTGAGATTCCATTTCTGTCCGCTTCCTGCTCCGTCCTTCCTGCAGGGACCACATTGGGGGCAACAAGGCCTTGAAAAACCTCCACAGCCCCTGCAGGGTGTATGGAAACCCAGTGGACAACATTCCAGGCCTGACACAGTAAGCGCTGGACTTTGCCATGTGGACATCGAGGCGCAGACACTATCCTGACCTCATGTCCTTATCCATCCATTTTCCATGACTGACTGTCCACAATTTTGCCCAGTTGGGAGATGGGAGGGAGCAAAAACATGGACTGGCGGTGGGTCCCTGAGGACCGGGTTGGGAAACACTGGCTTAAGCAAGTTCGGGCTCATAGTCAGCATGGAGGCCGTCCCAGGAAGTACCGGGTGCAGGGCAGGGGAACATCCTGGACAGGATGTTGAGTCTTTTGTACCAACTCAAATTCTATTTTTAACAAACTTCATAGTCCCAAGGTTCTTTTTATGTAATAAGGTCTCCTTATGGCTCTGCTGTTGAAATCAGAGAAATAAAGCAGAAAATGAATTAGCCTGAAAAATGAGTCATGGGTGATTGCTGTAGATTCTAGGGCTGCTGAGAACACATTTGTCTGAGTTTCTAAACCAGAACTTCACACTTTTTTTATGACCAGGTTTTCTGCATTTTTGCTGTTGTAGGAAGGCCAGCTGGTCTCTGAGCTAATTGTTGGCTTGATAAGCTTTTTCCAGTTTTTTCTCTTTCACTTTTAACGAGAATGTGTTTTATGGAGTTAGACGGCATCTAAGGGAATGCATTAATGAAGGAATACAGCTTTTAGTGCATTTGTTTTCCTGACTTTGCAGTGATTCCAGAGCAGATTTAAATTGCTGTTATTTTGTGTGTGAATGAACAGTGAGCTGTAAGTTCTGGTAAGCAATGATGCTAATTCTGACGCTCCCTGGTTGATGTTTCAACCAACATAAAAAATTAAATCAAGCAAATAAATATTTACCATAAACTTACTGTTACATATAATCCAGAAAGAAATTATACTAGTAGCAATATTGTGCTGTATTTGCAGGTTTTCTTTGAATATTTCTATATTTTCAAAATACTCAGGCCTCTTTAAAATGTTACATTTCATAAGGTGTATACTTAGCATTTGTTCATAATTTCTGATGGTGGCCATAATTTTTAAATGCTGTTTATTTTTAATAATAATTATGCCTCTATTACAAAATAGCTTTCTCTTTTGTTTTGAATATACAATAAACAAAAAAGATGTTTTTTGTAACCTGTTTACCAAGAGTGCCAATTTATCAAGAGGCATGGTTACTGGGTGTTACAATTGATGGCCATTTGCTCTGGCGTTCCGCTGAAGTTTTTCTGTGCCTCAGCAGTTCATTGCGGGAAAGTCTTTTGTCGTCTTGCTCTACAGGCTCTCTGCCATGTGCTTGTGTGGCTGGAGATCCTTTGCATCTTTTCGTTTGGTTTTTGAGCTATAAAGCGTAGTTGAGTCTTCGTGGGCTAATTCCTGTGCAGCTGTAAAGGCATTGTTGGCCTTTTTGGGAAGGGTGGGAGGTAAATATTTTACCTAAATGATCTCCAGACAAAATGTGCTCCAGATGTAATGTTTCTCTGTGTCATGTTAAGTATATAGGCTTTGTGTGTGTTCCTGTGCCTGGTCACACCTGCTTTGTGTTGGGATTCCAGCCCTCTCTCGGACAAAGACTGTATCGAGGTGGGACACCTGAGCTTTCAGGCCCTTTTTACTCCTGGACACATCGTGGGTCACATGATTTACCTCCTTGATGGCCGAGCGTTTGGCAGAACGTGCAGTCTGTTCTCGGGTGACCTGCTGTTCCTGTCAGGGTGCGGTGAGTTCTTAGGGGTCCGGCTGGTATTACTCCTCTCCCTTTTGTAGTGCTCTCCGCTCATAAGGCAGCCTGGCTAATTTAAACGCAGGATATCATCCTCCTCCTAGCTGTGTATTCAGTACAGGTCACGATGGAGGCATCGAAAGCTCCACACATGTGCAATCTCACACTATGGGCAGCTTAAGCTAGCTGCAGTGGGAAACGGGGAACCCAGAGGAAATCTATGCAACAAGGAGAGAACATATGAACTCCACACACACAGCGGGGCAGGATTTGGAGGTATGAAGCAGCAGTATTACCCATTTCCCTGAGGCGTTTTTTTCTGTTTGCTTTCATTCTAGGGAGAATGTTTGAGGGCAGTGCATCCACAATGCTGTCATCACTGGATATCGTGGGCGCTCTTGGTGAAGACACCCTTTTATGGCCTGGTAATGCAGTGGTGCACGCCCCCCCCCCCCTACAGATGGAGCGGGAGATTGACAGGCGGATCGATGCGGCGTCAGCAGTGATGCGGGCGCTGCATCGGTCTGTCATGGTGAAGAAGGAGCTGAGCCAAAAGGCAAAGCTCTCATTTTACCAGTCAATCTACATTCCTACCCGCACCTATAGTCATGAGCTATGGGTAGTGACCGAAAGAACGAGATCACGAATACAAGCGGCCGAAATGAGTTTCCTCCGCAGGGTGGCTGCGCTCTCCCTTAGAGAGAGGGTGAGGAGCTCGGTCATTCGGGAGGGACTCAGAGTAGAGCCGCATTGAGAGGAGCCAGATGAGGTGGCTCGGGCATCTGCTTAGGATGCCTCCCTGGTGAGGTGTTCCGGGCATGTCCCACTGGGAGGAGGCCCCGGGGAAGACCCAGGACACGCTGGAGGGACTATGTCTCTCGGCTGACCTGGGAACGTCTCGGGATTCCCCCAGAGGAGCTGGATGAAGTGGCCTGGGAGAGGGAAGTCTGGGTTTCCCTGCTGAGACTGCTGCCCCCATGACCCGACCTCAGATAAGCGGTAGATAATTTGTGGACGGATGGATGCACGAGGCCCATTCTCCAGCATTAAATCTGTCTCTTACAGGTCATGAATATGCAGAAGACAACCTGATGTTTGCTGCAGAGGTGGAACCACACAACTCTGCCAGGGAAAGCAAGTTTGAGTGGGTCCAACAGCAGAGGCGTCAGAAGTTATGTACGGTAAGAGTGTTATATGAAGACCAAACTGTACATGGTGGCAGAATGAATCCCTAAATGCATTTCAGGCTTTCTATGACCTGTGGAAGAGGCTGATTGGATATTTACTGGACTTCCTGTGCCAGGAAGTTTTCTCAAGCCATCTGGTGCTTCCTTGGCACAGCATGTGAGAACCAAAGAAAGAGTGAAACAGCTGGTTTTTACTTCTGAACAATTACACACTTAATCTCTACATTGTTGAAATTTGCATGCACGAATCATACTTCGTGCTGGGACAGGAAAACTTGTCTTATTTAATATATTTCATAAGGGAGCGGGGACTGATTTCTGGAAGACAGTTTTGCTGTGTGCTTGGTTGGAATGAAATTAATATTAGGGGTAGAAATTGGAGTTGTTCAGTGCATTGATGCAGAACAGAATCACTGGCCAGTGTACAACAAGTCTGTCTTTGCGCAGGTGTGGTGGATGGTTTTACAAAGTGACATATATTGTCCATTAGTGGCAGCTAGATAAGCAGTATATACTCTGGGGCCAAAAAAATGGGCCAGGGGCCCATGTGCACTCGGCTTAAATGTACTCGTGAGCACCTTCTATACCTTCTTGAGGGCATCTCTACCAGCATTTGCTAGAAAGCCTTTGTTATAGTGTAATAGTTTTGAAAAAAATCTGCAAACTGAGAAGGTCCTTGTATGCTAAAGTAATATTTACAGTGTTAAAGGCAGAGAAAATCACTAGTTCCGCTGTTAAGAGAACAGGTCAACATTTTAGAACAACAGGTAATGTTAGAAGTGAAGGACCTGGAATATCCAGAGGTATGCAAAGCAGGGGCGCGCAAAAAAAAAAAACTGAAAAGTGCCAAGAAAACAACATCAAAAAGTTCAAGAGCTCTGATAACAAGAGACTTTCTCGATTGGCAAATCAAAGGTTGTCGTCTTAGTACCATGTCTAGAAAATGTACAAAAAATCCACTGCTGTTTTGGCAGATTATGGAAAAATGTTATGCTCGTGGTTTTAGTGGAGTTGAGTGAAGGAATTTACAGTTTGAGTTGAATTTCATATCAACTACAGTTAGATGTGAAGGAAGAGGTGCTGTGGTGTGGGCAGCCTCTTCAGCTGCTGCGGCATGTGGGCTGCATCAGTGTGAAAAATCAAGTGCAGGAGAATACTGCAGAAAGGCTTATTTCACAACAGAGAAGTCGTTTTCCAAAGAGAAATGGCAAACGCCACTAAAAGTGGCACGAGAACCACGGCACGAGTGGTATGAGAAGTCCATCAGTCTCATGTTTCAGCCTGGTCAGCATCAAGATTTAGACCCAGTAGAGAACATTCGGTCTGATGTTAAATAAGACCTAGTTGGGAAATATTTTTCCTCCACTTAGCAACTGTTTGAATGGAACAATATTAATTCTGCATTTTGTAAAAATGTATCTACAAGTTTATTTTCAAATCTAACAGAAAAGCCTTCCTGTACTAAGTTATTTGTTTAATTATTGATCATTTCCTTACCATTGATTCATTGTTAAAACCATGAAAAAAATAAAGTTCTTGCAATTTTCGGCCCTTTTATTTACTTGATTGCCAAATCAGTTTGTGTGTTTAATGGTACAGCATTAGCAACCCTACTGCCAGGACTGACTCCTAGTCCTGCCTCTGGTTCCAGAGTCCATCCACCATCCAGGAGGAGAAGGAGTACAATCCATTTCTGCGGAGCCATTCTCCAGAACTGCACCGGTCTCTGGGTCTCCAGCAGGAGCCGGACGAGGACTGGGCCCACTTCAGGGCTCGCGTCCTGGAGGAGTTACGCAGGCGCAAGGACATCTACAAGGGGAGATAGATGCCTGAGTGCCCCTGGATGCCTGGAATCCAGGATGAGATACTGCTTGAAAAAATTAAAAGGAAAAAAAGATGGTGAATTACAGCACTCCTCAGTCTTCACATGCCAAATGGTTTTTGGTGTCCTGCCATAAAATGAGGTGTCTGAGACTTCTGCTTTTATTTTGAATTTATAGTGGACTGAGTCAGCTTGAGTTTGCGTTTATGAAATAACATTTGACTTCAGAGTGAGCAAATGACAGATACACTAGTCGTAACATGTTTAAATCCTAACCATGGATGATAATCTCACTTTATACATATGAGTGATAATTGGCTGTCTAAACTAAAGCTATGAATGATTCCTTTGTAGAAATTTTTGAACCCGCTGAGAGATTGACTGGAGTGATTTGTTGAACTTAGATCTTGAGCATTTCTAAAAACTGGCTATCTAACCTCAAAGCATAGATAACTTTCTTTGCTATGGCTGCCTGTTTTTAAAGCGATTTTTATCAAATGGGTTCTTTTTACAAAAGTAGAAATAAATTAATTCCGTCGATCGCGGAAACGCACCAAGTATTTGCCTGACATGAAATGGGATTCTGTGTTGCCATAGAAGGTACAGACTTGTATGCTGATGACCAGATGCTGCATGCATATTTCACCTGCTTCTCATGAATGATCAGTTCTTTGTGAGCTGATATTTAAAGCGAACGAAATGATGTTGCTCACTGCACTAATTCACTCAATTTAGATGCACTGGTGCAATGATGTACAGATATGTACGAGTCACGTGAGATATAATGAATCACATATGATTTCATTAACATGTTTGACTAAGCTTGTTTTTTTTCCTCCTTGTGCATAACAAAGTTAAGTATGAATAAATCCAGGGGTGGCCAGTCTTATCCAGATAGGGCCATTGTGTGTATGTTGGCTTTCACTGCAACTGCCTAATTGGATTGCTAATTAGAGGTCTGATTGGCTGAAGAGTCCTCACACTTGGGTTTGAACAGCTGACCTAAAGGTTACCCAGAAACCTGCATACACACTGGCCACCCCCGAATGAAATGGCGACCAGAGGTGGAAAGTTCAGATCCAGAAAGATTTTGTTTCAGCCAGCCAGTTGAATATAATGAGTCAGTCACAGAGTACTCAACTGGTTGGTTAAAATAAAATCGGTATTTTTACTTTCTAGACATGAACTTTCCATCTCTAATGGTGACATTCCGTTAAATAAGTCATTTGCAGTGACACAAGGCACAGACTGTGGTTTTATTATGTACAGTGTTTACAGAAGACTTAAGTATGTTTAAAATATGACTTTTGATTAACAATAAACCGTTTGTGAGGATGGTTTTCGTGTCTTTGTGTTTTGAGTGCGCTTATATTGCAGTTTTACGGTACTTAGATGCGTCGTCGGCATGGAAACCGGCAGCGTTTGGGGAGCAGAAACACTCACGGTGCTCCAAAGACCTTGGATCCAGTAAGGTGAGATTAGCGGTATTGCGTCATTTTTACCGTCATTAATCCTTTTGTACCGCTCACTTCAATTGTTTAGTTGCCTAATTTAAAACTACATTTTACGTTACTAGTCATATAAAGGGCCGCCCCGGCAGGGGGTTTGTTGCCTTCGAAATAGCCGTTGCTAATCTTGGCTTCCGCAACATGCAAAACTTGGATGAAGTCTGTAAGCTACACTTGCCAGGCAGACCAGCAACATGTTGTTTATTTTCTGTAACACCTCGTTCTGGCCACGTACTGTGCTGAATCCATCAGTGCAATGGAAGAAGAAACTCGGGAGGATCATGATGCGAAGCTCGCTTCCTCCAAAGAAGCTAAAGATTTCTTGTCCAGTATTGGTACGTATGCTACAGGTGTCGCGTATCGGGGCGAAAAGGTGATCTGAGTACAGGTACAACCCCGCAAGTCTGCATTGGCACTCAGAGTGAAGCGCAGTTACCAAGCGCTTATATGTTAGATCTCTGCGGAATGTTTTGAAGCACCTTACTGGTGAGTCACGTGATGTGGTCATCGCCTGCTGCTGACAGATCAACAGAATGACAAACAATTTAGACATTTTAGAGAATATTCCTGTTATTCACTACATTAATATGTGTTGCATTTATATGTCTTGGTTTTGGGGTAATGACATATTACAAGATAACATGATTTAAAATTCCGCAATCTGATGTTCCATATTTTCACATTAATATGATGGTTGTTAGATCCACATTTTGTTAGTCGAGATGTTTCTCAATAACAAAACATGTATACATGTTGGTAGTATATTCACACTATGAATATAGGGGTTGTCCCATTTCAATTTGACAAGTTTCCAAAATTATTTAAGATGATTTTTTCCCATTTCTGATTAAGGTTAATCTTTTCTTTTACAAAGGTCAAAGTTCATCTCACAAACTGCATATTTATTTATTTTTTTTCCTAATTCTGGTTATTAAAAACAGTAAAGAGTGACACATCAAATGTTTTAAATGAAATGCACATGAATGAAGAGAATTTCCTTTGTCTTGCAAGATGAAATCCAGCCATAACACAGGTCAGGTTTGCAGGCACTTTACACCTTTGTCTACTGGAAAAGAGGAGTGATCCAAACCCAAATTTCTATTCCATTAGTGACTCTATCGGTCACATCACCACTACATTCTGTGATTCTCAGCAAATCCTGTAAAGTCAGATCATCCTAGGATTTACAAAATAGCTTATCTTTCAGGTGACTCAGCAGCACCATATAAAAGCATGAAAAACTTCATAAACTTGTGTCACTATGAACAGGTCTTTCGGATAAAAGCACGCTGGAACTTTTTGCGACTTGCAAAGGCCATTGTCTGAATTAAAATGGGATCACCCATGGACCCAATATTGATATACAAATATTTTATTTTCCCTTACAGAGTCAAGGGAACTTGATCGATGTCTGTTTGCAGACTCCTTGATTACAGTGTCAGATACTGGACGGGAATTGGGAGAGTTCACCATAACTATGCAGAATGCAGTTTATAACAATGAACAGTGCTATCTTCTACATGCTAACAGCCATGGTTCAATTGATGATATACCATGTGGAACATCTATCATGGGTAGGTATGACACTGGGTTATAAAAGACATGGTACAGTGGAGTAATGGTTTCCTCCTCTAGCTAATAAAATCACTTTCATTAATTTTTATTCTTACGGTGTAGTCTTTCAGTGACACAGTGGGTAGCACTGTTTCCCGATGCCTGGCTGCGCAGTCTAAATGTCCTCTCCATATTGTGAGGGAATCCAGTTTTTCCCTCAGTCAGTTAGGGGAGTTGGCATCTCTAAATCGTGTGTGTGTGTGTGTGTGTGTGTGTGTGTGTGTGTGCGCGCTTGCATAGATCACATTTAGGGACCAAAATGTTTTACCACACTTTGGGAACCTGAACCTTCCTTACTTTTGGGAACATTTTTTCAGGTACCCATTTGGATAACCTCAGTCTTATGGAAATCTGTAAATGTAATCAAAAAAGTAAAAATGCCAAAATTTTTGTGTTTTGTTTGGTTAATTATGGTTAAGATTAGGGCTAGGTAGGGGTTAAGGGTGTTGTGATTGGGATTAGGGTTTTTCCCATAGAAATGAATGGACTGTCCCCATTTAGATGGGTATGTAGGTGTGTGTTTGTGTGTGTGTGAGCATGTACCCTGTATTTGACTGGCAGCCTATCCAGGGCTGTTCCTGGCACTGACTAGGCTCTCCACCACCTGCACTGCATGCATGCATGTGTGTATGCATGTATGTATGTATGGATGGATGTATGGATGGATGGATGTGTTGCTTTGTTTTATTTGTTTATTATTTACCAACAGCTTACATTTCAAAGACACTTGAGACGTTGGAACAAAACCACCATGAGTACGTGCAGGTATTTTCTGATTATTATTCATAGATGTGCTTAGTAATACGTAGTATCTGTCTGTGGTGGCTTTCAAGGGGAATTCTACTGAACTTTAGTTAACCTGCTTCTTAATGTCTTATGGTAAGAATTTCCATAATTATATAGATTTTATTTACGTGTTCCTTATATAAAGTTTGATTATTCCCTGTTTTGTGGTCCAGGGCATTTCTTGCGGTCCTGTCTAGGATAAGCATCTGTTAGATGGGTGGTTATTAATCTGCGGGTGTGAAGTACCCTCACTGCCGTCTGTAGGCTATGTGGCACCCTACCTGAGCATCACCATCGCCCCCCCCCCCCCCCCCCCCCCCCCCCCCCCAGCAAACTCAGCTGCCCAGTTTCACTGTGTGCACCACCCACGGCCCTCAATGTGCTGCTAGTGATCTCTTGCTAAGTTGTTATCTCATCAGATGGCAGCCTGCAATGTAAGGACATGGTCCCAAACATTCCAAAACTCTTATTTAAATGAACTTTTTGTGTGGAATTCCCCTTTAATGCTTTATTCATTTGATGTACTCTTAGGCAGCCAAAGAAAATTATGCTTTAATTATGTTGTGAGGAGTTATTTAACTAATTAAGTTAATTAAATTACTTGGTGGTGAAATTTTAGAAATTTATAGAATGACTGGGGTGCCTCTTTGGAGGGATTTGAGAATTGAAGTGGTGACGTTCTTGTCACCCAATAAATCTGTCATTTTTTGGAGAACAAATTCTTGTTTTTCTTTATATGTTACCATTCATTTGCGAATGGCCTAATTCTATTTTTTCTGGGGAAATTTACTAAACAGATAAATAGTTTTAAATATATTTTTAATGGTCTAAGACTTTAACATTATTGTGCAAAATAGTTTCTATACGCATTTGATTTGCTGTTCTACATCCCATTGCGGCAATAGGCTTTGTACTGTATACAGCAGCCTCACAGCACCACCTAGTGGTGCATTCTGTCAATTATGGCAGCTTTGCAGACTTCAGTCAATTTATGTAAATACAGTGTTGCGAAGGTTACTTTTGAACTGTAACTAGTTACCCTGTTAAAAATGAGTAATTAGTAATAAGTAATGTATCTATTTTGATTAGTTCATCAATGTAATGTAACTTATTACATTTGATTACCTTTTGAAGACTTTTCTAACATGTTTAACTGGGCAATAATGCTGAAAAGTCCCAACGGCTTTCTTGATCTGTGTTGCCTGGAAAGAAGGCATTTCTGCATAGGGAAAAGATCCAAAGCAACAAAATGTAATTATATATTCTACATATAGGTTTTCTTACCGAAAAGAATAGACGCAAATGTTACCCCTTTTGTAATTACCAACATTATGATTAGTAACTGTTCTTCATTTAAATTAATCATCCATTAAAATCATAATGAATCAACTTCAGCGTGTGAATTTGCAATGACATTAACAATTTAATGGGAAACTTCAGCTTCAGGACCACAGTTTGGACAGGAAGTCTCACATGGTGCGACATGGTGATCAGCTGGTGGTGAATAAAATCATCACGGAGGGAGAGGTTAGAGGATTTCTGCTCTGTTGTGTTCCTAACCTAATTAATTACTAATTGTGATTATTAAATGGAGATTTGTTGTAATAGATTGAGATTAAAAATGTCACATTAGACACACACCTGCAAATTAAGTTTTGCATGTCACTTTCTTCATTTTAATTGAACTTTGTTCACTGTTTCACTCTGATTTATAAGAGGGACCCATCTGTTGATGTATTCCATAATGTGTTGTAGAGCAGTGTTTCTCGACTCTGTACTCTGGGACCCCTAGACAGTCCACGTTTTTGCTCCCTCTCAGCTCCCTGCCAGAAAGTCCACATTCTTTTCTACCAGGAGCTTGGGAGGGAGCAAAAACCTGGACTGTCCAGGGATCCCTGAGGTCCGGTTTGAGAAATACTGCTATAGAGGACACAGGTTTTTTGCCCTTTTGTGATTTCTCTTTTTGAGTTTGTAAGTAATGCTGCCACTTTCCCAGCATGACATCCTAGTACATCATTCAATTTTATTTCTCTCTCAGGAAGTGAAGAGCCAGTCCTTCACATTTCCAGTGAGCTCTTTGGAGGGATTTGTGTCAGAAGCCTCAAATCTTCTTATTCTGCGAATTCTAGCTCAAAGGAAGATTTTTCCAGAGAACATGGTGTTCTTGTCTCTTGACACCGAGACTCAGATCTGTTTTTCTACCTACGTAAGTGCTCTAAGTTTGTTGTCAAAAGCGTTAAGTGTAGAATGGGCAATCAAACCTAAAGAGGATGACTTGCAGGTCAACTATGTATGAAAAGGTATACTTTTCCTCACCTTTTTCAAAATGTGTTGGCATGTTAGTGTCTATCATGTTTGATTTATGTTGTTTGCATGAACACCACTGACATGGCCTGCGGGTAATTTTAGTATTCTTATGCCTTAAACAGAAAGTATTAGGGGAGAGGAAGCAGTTGTTGGGAACAGAGTTCATGGATGTGTTTGGCATCCAGAGGACAGTGGAGTCTGTTACAGATATCTCTGCTACATGGCACTGCTACTTTCTTTCAGATGGGTAAGCAGGAATCTCACAGATCTCTTCCACATTATCTTTGTAACTCAGGGATCACACACAAATTGTATCCCTTCCCTCTACTGTAAGTAACTTTGGATTAAAGTATCAGGTAAATGTGAACATAATGATTCCGTATATGAATACAGCTTCATTAGTGAGACTGTGTTCTTTTGGGGAGGTGAGTAGCATAGTTGTTTCAAGATGGACTTTTCCCCCTTAGGATACTTCTAAGTACATGAAAAATGCTACAGAATTCAAACTGTCTGGAAGCATTTGATAAAACCCATGAGCTGTCTTAACTGTCTATCGACTGGCAACCTAAAATGCCAGCAGAAAATCTGTGTGCCAGATGTAATTTGGTTTCCTGTGTTTTGATTTAGCTGTATTTTGTTTTGCAGCCATCTTGCAAGCAGAGTGCAAGTTGGATCACCGGTAACAATGAAGCTACTTCACAAGCCTGCTGACAAAGTAACAGGTAAATGTGCACTGCTGTTATTAAACTTGGAGGGAAAAATTATATATTAAAGGCTAGATACAATATTGCTGTTGCCTTACTGACCCCCACCCCACCCCACCCCCAGTAGAAAAAGTGGAGAAACCTGTTTTTGAAAAGAAACCCCTGGTGTGGGAAGAAGACATGCAGATGTTCTCCAGATTTCTGGACAGAAAGGTGCACTTGTCTAATATTTGACATGTGATGTGATTGTCATTGATATAATGATTGAATGGCATTAGGAGTCACTGCACGTTTTAATGCTTTAGTGCACAGCGTATAAACCATTGTCTGGGTAAGTGGTTTTGAAAACAGGTGGATGGGATCCGCTAATCTGTGCAAAGTGCTGCAATAAAAGGTTCTTTCCCGGTGGGTCGTTTTGGTTTGTGGTACAGGAAGAGCTGAGAAGCAGTCATGCCTCATATGTTCAAGAACACCCCGAACTGAAAGCCCTGCTAGCTGACTTCCTGCAGTTCCTACTGCTCCGCAAACCGGATGACGTTCTGTCTTTTGCTGTGGAGTACTTTGCGCCATTTGGTTCCCAGAGGGCCCCAGGAACTTCGACTCCTCCAGTTCTGTGAAGTCATATAACTACCATGAAAATATACCCACATAAAACAAGCCGAAATGTAATGTATTCATTTCCCAGAAAGTATGATATACATACAGCATGAGATTTTAATAAAGTACATGTACTTGGGTGTTTGTTTCATTTATTTTAAATGTCTATCATCAGCATTGACTTAGTTATGGTGGATAACCGTCACATGACTTTAGACAATATTTACTAACAAGCTACTGAGACATGAGAAACAAGCAAAAATGGAAAAGCACGACCGGTAAGAACTACGTTTCCCATAATCCCCCGGAGCCGGATGGATTCACGTTCAGTTGACAGGAAGCAGGATAGAAGCTAAAGTGGCTTTTTTTTTAACACAGTTGTAATGTTTTCAAGGAAGACTGAATGAACCGGTTATCTTATTTCACCGATTTACGTCGTTGTAGATATCTGTCAATTTTGACTTGACTTCGCAGGCTTTAGATTATTGGCTTTTCCACAAATGTCACCGAAAGCAATACTGGGTTGTTCTTAGAATGAAATCTGCGTATATTCCCTGATTTCGCAGTTTATTACTGTAGTTTATAATCACGGGAAGCCGTTCGGCGCAGCTCCCACGGCGGACCGGCCGACACGCCCGCACAGCTCGCAGGAATATACAGCGAATATACAGGAATATACAAGATGCTGAAAACTGTCATTCTGATCGGAGGGCCGCAAAAAGGTAAAAGTGCAGCTAGTTAAAACAGCGTGACAATTAAGAGGACACTTTATCCGCCCCATGAACATACGTGCAGCAAGTAAATACATCACAGACGTACTTAGCGCAGTTGGGTTTTGATGACGTGGCCATGTTATATGACTGAGTTTAACTTTGATGGTACTTTTTTAAAATTTACTCTTTTATAATTTAATTTACACGCGTCGTTAATTTGATTAATTCGATTTGGATAGTTAACAGTTTCTGTCTGATAATGTCACACCAAAATCTCCAGTAACAACCGTAAAATTCGGCGTAAGGTGACACTGCTGGCCATTACCTGGATATGGGAAAGCACATCGTGCTGAATGGTCCGTCCTGCCAGGTACCCGGTTCCGGCCGCTGTCCTTCGAGGTCCCGAAGCCCCTGTTCCCTGTTGCCGGGGTCCCGATGCTGCAGCATCACATCGAGGCCTGCGCGAAGGTGAGCTTACGGACCCCCACATGACCATCGCGGTTAACAGTCCGGGTTTTTATCTCGTTATTGCCTTTTTTTGCTTTATTTTTTGTCATTCGGTAATCATACGTTATGCGTAAACGTTTATTAGCCGAATCTGTCAGCTACAGATGAAATGAAGTGGGGTCTGTGTGTAGCATACCAGCAGAGGGCGCAGTAGTTGAAAGATTCGTACATGTATGTTTTATCAGGAAAGGGAAACTGAGGGGTGAAACTTGAATTTGTTCAAAGTATGTGAGTACATGTGAAAAAGGTACACAGGTAACTAATTTGCTAAATTTGTATTTCTGATATAGGTTCCAAATATGAAAGAGATATTGCTTATTGGCTTCTATCAACCAAATGAAGAACTTACGCGATTTTTGGCTTGTGCACAGCAGGAGTTCAAAATCTCCATAAGGTAACAGATCTTTCAACCTTATGTATATCTAATGACATAATTTGGAGGATATATATACACATATATATATATATACACACACACACACACAAAGTGGGACAAAAGTAGGTATACAGTTTTTATTTTACGGTACGGTGATGTTTAGTCTCATAAGTGTTGGAAATGTCCACCGTCGACGTTGATACACTCCTGCAGCCTGTCCCTGACACTGTGACACACTTTAGCTACCTTGAGATCTTTCTGCAGCGTTGGATCCGGTGACGTGGCAGCATTGTTTGCCCATCATGTTCACCCGACATGACACCCATAGCCTTTTTTGGGGGGGGGGGGGCGTAGTAGAGGAGAAGGTTTTTGAGAGGATGAATTGAAGGAGTTAATCTCGCAGGCATTTGTGGACACTGATGATAACTGGGATTTGTGTGCTAAATTCATGAATTGTCTAATTTTCACCATTTTGGGACCAGATATGCTCACTCCAATCATTCCACTGTTTTGTTATTAATATTAGATCCAGTGTAATTATTGCTGTAGGTCGTTAGCTAAAGTACTATTAGCAAGTAAAACTTACTGTGGGATAAACTTTAGCGCTGATTAGGGCTCTACAGTCAAAACTAGGGCACTTTCAGTTGGAACATGAGGCTGATAATCCTGTAGTACCACTCCAGAAATCATTCAGTCTTAATTGCTGCTTAATCACTAACATTGTTGCAGAAGGTTTCTCTGCTATAAGTGCAATGCGATCCTTATAGATAAGAATGTAATGGAGTCCTTTTCAGAGCATAATTAGCCCTGTTTATTTTCCTTTGTTACTCTGAATACCGTTAATGTTAACGGAGGTTGGCTTTCCGTAACTGAGCGTCACGGCTGGACTCCCAGGTACCTGCAGGAGTACGCGGCCCTGGGGACAGGCGGGGGCGTCTATCACTTCAGGGATCAGATCCTGTCTGGCGGCCCGGAGGCCTTTTTCATCATGAATGCCGACGTGTGCTCCGAGTTCCCTCTGCTGGAGATGTTGGACTTCCAGAACGAGCACGGGGATGCTCCTGGCTTCGTCATCCTGGGGACGACGGTCAGGATATGATTGATCTGCTTACATGGGAAGGGGTTACGGTTTATAAATGGCGCTGGGGGGGGGGGGGTCTGCTAATTGTGACTTTCAGCTCTCCTCCAGCTTGCAGTTACCCATGGTATTTCACAAACCTGAGTAATAAAGAAAAGTTAACTGGCAATGTTTGGTGTTGGTTTTAGAATACGTCCACCATAATGCTCTACTGGACATATGGTGGTGGAGGATGGGTAGATATTTGCTTGGTATGTGCTATCCTGTGAAAAACCATTAAACACCCTGATGCTGAATTGACAGATTTCTTTTTTTCCTTTTTTTTTTTTTTTTTGATAATTTAGGCCAATAGGAAGCAATCCATGAACTATGGCTGTATTGTGGAAAATCAGCAAACAAATGAGGTAATGGAATAGCTTCTTCCCATTCCTAATGCGCCGCCTTTGGTCTGTGTCTGTTTACACCGGTGAGATGCAGAGGAAGTGTGAGTCAGTACTTATGGAGTTCTTCCCTGCGCTGTAGGTGATGCACTATGTGGAGAAGCCCAGCACATTCGTGAGTGACATCATCAACTGTGGCATCTATCTGTTTACGCCGGAAATCTTCCAGCACATCGGGGCCGTCTTCCAGAAGAACCAGCAGGACATGCTGTTGTGAGTGGGAGGAAACCCCCCTTTCCCCCTGAGGTCCTCTGATGGGCGTCTGCATTGATTTTTCCATTTCTTACCCTCAGTTTTGTTCATTTTTTTCCCTCCCTCCCCTTCCTGCCATCATTCTCTTCCCTGTTCGACATCCCCAGATATCCCTATGAGGGGTAAGTCGGCCTGTGTGGTGATCCCACCGTGGGGGGAGTGTTAGAAAGCTTTAATTAGCCCCCCTGTTTGTGTAGTACTCTGTAAATCGTGCTTGTGTGCAATTAGTATGCTTTTTCTTTAAGCATTTGTTTTATAAAAAATATAAGATTCTGTAATCTTAATTATTTTTTAATACAATGAAAGGGGCAGCTTCTGCTTACCTACAGGCAAGTGATTTTAACAGCGTTGTAACAGCGTGCCTGACTGCTAAATCAGTACATATACAGATGCTCCTCGACTTACGATGGGGTTACGTTTCTATGAACCCATCGTAAGTTGAAAATATCGTAAGTCGAATATCATATGATAAAGTAAATAACTGCTGCCACTTAATAAGTAAATAAAAATATTTGCTGTAAATAGTAAATTACTAAGTATAGTAAAGTCAAAAAATCATTTTGTAAGTTAGGAGCATCTGTATATCAAAAGTTGATATGTCCCGGGTTCCATTCCTCTTAAATGGGAGGTAAAGCCTCAGAGAATGAAATTAAGAAGCATTATTCGATTGGCGACATGCAGGTTTAGTGTCACCATGGGGATGTCCTACAAATGTCAACAATTTCAGCTACATCTATTGGTTTTCTTGCTTTGAGATTTTCCCGGAATTGTTCTGGTCATTCACTGTCATTTTGCTGACATTCCCAGACTTTTCATTTTGACCACAGCATGCTTTCATGCCTCTGTTCCTTCTCTGATTCTTTTCGATCATCTCCACTGTCCCGAATGATACAAACTATTAAAAAGCCGATGTAGCAGCACCATGTACTGGTTGGGATGGAAGAGACAGGAGCATTTTGTTGAGGTTGAATTGCTTTAGTAAGTTACCTCTGTAGAGGCCCACAACTCCTGTCTTTGGCTGGACGGCAGGGCAGTTACTGTGGAGCCCAAAGTCATGTTGTCCTTCCCCTCAGGCGTCTGCTCCTTAGTGAGCTGAACTGACAAGTTGCTTACTGAGAACAAGGGGCCTGCTGGCTGCATAGAGCCAGGCAGTGATGCTCTATAAGAGCCATGCTTCTCTCGCAGAGAGGAACAGACCAACGGCTGGCAGCGGGCAGAAGTGATCCGGCTGGAACAGGACATATTCACCGCGTTGGCTGGTCAAGGCAAGCTGTACGTCTACAAAACCACTGGCTTCTGGAGTCAGATCAAGTCGGCTGGGTGAGTCCCCATCGCTCGCTCGGCGGGGGACGGATCACGGAGTAATGAGGGCGAGACGGATTATACACAGGCGGGACATGTCGTGCTCAGGGCCGGCAGCACGTTGGTCTCCAGTGTGTCTGAGCTGCCCATCTGCTGGTCTCCGGACAGGTCTGCCATTTATGCCAGTCGGCTGTACCTGAACCAGTACCACCAGACTCATCCAGAGAGGCTGGCGAAGAATGAAGAAGCAAGTCCCAAAATTAGTGGTAAGCATTAACTCTGCGCTTGTCTCTCTCATGATGGACTGTAGTTTTCCTGTATATTAACATGTAGTTTGCTCTCTGTAGGAAACGTGTACATTCATCCAACTGCTAAGATCGACCCAACAGCCGTAGTAAGTAAATTTTTCAGTTGAAGTATCAACAATCAGCAGATCGAGAAGCAGATTTGTTTAATTAATTTATTTTTTTAT